CTCTAAGTTGCAGAATATTCTGGAGATACATCTTCGAAATTGTTCAGCGTTTCATATCCTCTGGGATATTCCAGAGATGCATTTCAAGAATTATTCAAAGTAAATAGTTTTATGGTGTTTCCGGCGATGCATTTATGGAATTGTTTAACGTTAATGTTTTATGGTGTTTTCGGAGATATATTTTCAGAATATCCTGCAGTCTGTTTTTTTTTTTTTTAATTTTAAGTTTTCCTGTTTGTGTGTTTCGTTTGCATGCACTAATGATATGTCTTACTTTACCTTACATGCATAACAGAGTCGACAGACTGAGATATTGTCAGGTTGCCCAACACACATCCGTTTGGCGGGAGCGCAACCAGCAGGTACATTGGCCAGGTAGAGGCATCGACTTCTGGGGCGCAGTCTACTCTTGGAACTCGTCCTTTACCTCATGCCACTTCATCTCAGGCCACTCCACCTTCTTCTTATTCCCGCAGGATACGAGATTCACCATCTGACGTGTTACTTTCCCCATCCTCCCGCAGACATTAAGATTCAACAGTGTCACCTCCTACGAATCTAGTGTCACCTCCCATTGATGATCCTGTTGATCCAGTGCCACCTCTGGAGGGCTATGATGTTGCAGATGCCGAGTTAGAGGATTTTGGAGGAGGTCCATATGATATGTCATTACTCCTTCTGTATCCATACCATACTGCCAAACATATATGGGATAGAGAAGTAGCATTAGTTGGATTCTTTGTTTTTTTTATGCGTTAATTTTAATTTTAATTTTTGACAATAATTATTATTGACATTGTTTATTTTTGGAAAATTTCAGGTGCGTTATCCATAGAAGTTTCTTAACTATGGGAGGAAGATTGTCGCATTGCCTCAACAGGAGGATTGGTTTCAGGGTGTTATATTATCATCTGGCCTAAAGGACCTATGCATGACCAGTTACACTCTGGCCAATCACGAAACGCTTAAGGCATTTGTGGAGAGATGACACTCTGAGGCCTTTTTGTTTCATCTTCCGTATGGTGAGATGTTTATCACACTAAACGATGTCTCGTGTTTGTTACATCTTCCGATAAGGGGGGAGTTCTTCGATCATGAAAAGATTACCAGAGATGAGGCAATTGAGATGATAGTAAAGCATTTGAGAGAGGATCTAGAGAAGACGATGAAAGAGGTGGATAAGACTAGAGGTGCTCATGTTAGATTTGAGTTCCTGAGGAAACTGTATGTGGACGAGATCAATATGGCACATCAGACACATGGTGATGTTGAGCAACAGGCGGTACACCTATATCTCTTTATCATTCAACTCACAACAATCAACAAACCTCAACTACTATATGGATTCCCACATCTTCGCCTTCATCAATACTACCACAATTCTCACCTTAAATGACTACTCGAGCACAACATGGTATAATCAAACCTTGCAACCTTTTAACCTACATATTTCATCTCAAAATTCTATATCCCTGTTACCTACAAATCATATAGATGCATTACACGTAGGGATGAAAATAGGCCGGAGCGAGCTAGGTTTTGCCAAGTCTGAGCCTGACCTGCTCAAAATTTCAAAGCTTAAGTCTGACCTATGCCTTATCGTAGGCTTGTTTTTAGGCCTGAACTTGACCTTTTTGAAGGCCTGTTTAACCTATTAGCCTACATAAAAGCCTATTATATTTGATCATTTGTAAATAAGCAATTACCTTAATGTTTAAATAGACTAACAAATTAAAATATCAATGAGACTAAATGCTTATTTACATTGACTTATTAAAGTTTACACATTAACATAAGTTTTATGATACTATTTGTTTGAGATTTTTTATGAAAACAACTTATAACATTGTTTATAAGGTTTTTTAAACTTATTTTCATAAGTTCTTCAAGAAAACAAGTTTTACTTTTTTATTTTAATTCAAAATATAAATAAAATATAATAATAATAATAAAAATAAAATTATTCATATTTATTTAAATAGGCTGGCATGATAGACTTAAAAGGTTTTTTTATGTCCTTTGGCCTAACCTTTTTAACTAAATAGACTTATAAAAAGCATAGGCCTTTTCTATTTAAAAAAAGTCAGGTCTGTCCTGAGCCTGCGTAAGCTAGGCCTGTAGTTTCCTGTTAGTTGGATGACATATTCCCACTCCTAATTGCACGACCGCAAATTTGAAGCTCTTATTGAAAATAAGACGTGAGACTTGGTTCCTCGTCTGCCTAATACAAATATTCTTTGAAGTTTATGGATTTTTAGGCATAAAAAGAATTCAGATGGATCATTCGAGCGGCACAAAGCTTGCCTTGTAGGAAATGGAGCGAACTAACAAACGAGTGTTGATTATGATGAAACCTTCAACCTTGTAGCCAAATCAGCTACTAATCACGCACTACTCAGAATTGCCTTGTCAAAATTATGACGTCTTCATCCATAGGATGTTTAAAATTCCTTCTTGCACGACAATCTTGATGAAAATGTCTACATGCACCAACCTCTAAGCTTTTGCCATCCTCAATTCCCAGATCATGCGTGTTTATTCAAAAAGTCTCTATGGATTTAAACAAGCACTACACACCTGATACCAACGATTCACTAATTATGTCGCTACAATGGGATTCTCTCTTAATATTTATGATCACTAATTATTTATTTATCATCATGGGAATGTCATAACCTATATTCTTCTCTATGTAGATAATATTATCCTCATTGTTTCATCCGACTCTCTTCATGAGTATATTATGTCCAAACTGAGTTTTGAATTTGCAATAAAGGATCTAGGATTTGTGAGTTATTTTCTAGGCATCTATGTTACTCGAAATCCAAGAGGTATTTTTCTCTCTAAAAAAATACGCAGAAGAGATCATTAAACATGCAGGAATGTCGTCATACAAGTCAGCCCCAACAACGATGAATACCAAATCAAAACTCAGTGGATCCTCAAGTAATTCCTATCATGATCCAATAGAATATCGAAGTCTTGCAAGTGCATTATAACACTTAACATTTAAAAGACTAGATATATCATATGCAGTTCAACAAATGCGCCTTTTTATGCATGATTCAAAAACACAACACATGTCTGCCTTAAAAAGGATCATTCGTTAGATTCATAGTACTGTTAAATTCAGCCTCCACCTATATTCTTCCTCCATAGACAAGCTCGCAAGTTATACATGCGCTATTTGGTTTGGTTGTCAAGACACAAGAAGATCTACCTCTAGGTATTGTGTGTATCTTGGTGATAACTCGTTATCATGGTCTGCAAAACGTCAACATACCTTATCTCGATCAAATGCAAAGGTTGAATACCGAGGAGTGGTTAATGAAGTGTCTGAATCCTATTGGATTCGAAAATTACTTTTAGAACTACACTGCCTTGTTACAAAAGCAACTTTAGTATATATTGTAACAACCTCAGTGCCGTGTATCTGTCCGACAATCCATTTCTATATCAACGTACCAAACACATCGAAATAGATATATACTTTATGCAAGAATAAGTTGCTCGCAGTCAAGTGCACGTATTACATGTTCCTTGTTATCAATTTGCTAAGATCTTCACGAATGAGCCTTTTGCGACAACTTTTTGACAACTTTAGAAATAATCTCAACATTCGTTCATCTCTTCATCTTGTATAAATATAAAAATGACATTATTAAAATTTATTGTAAATAATTATTTAATATAGGCAGGATTATTAAGAATATATATATATATATATATATATATATATATATATATATATATATATATATATATATATATATATATATATATATATATATATATATATATATATATATATATATATATATATATATATATATATATATATATATATATATATATATATATATATATATATATATATATATATATATATATATATATATATATATATATATATATATATATATATATATATATATATATATATATATATATATATATATATATATATAAAAGAAGACACTGCCAATATTCAGCTCTCTATCAGTTTTATTAGTGCATGATATCTGTGAATAAACTAATTGGATACACGACCTTTTTGATTTCTAAATTGTTATCAAAGAATGGTTTAATTGAAATAAAGCTTTTTTCTAAAATAAACTAATTTTGCAGTTTTCTTATCCCTTTATCATAGAATGGTTTATGAATATCCTGACTGAATAAATATGTTCTTTTGTGATATTACATTTCAAAAGTTATTGTGATTCAGTTCTTTGTATGCTGCATTATATTGTTCAGTTCAGTTATATGTTAAATGTTAGATAATTAGTAGTATAAATAATTAACTTTCAGTTATATTTTGTTTATGTCAATGTATGTATTGTTTAAGAAAAATGCTATTCCTACACCATTTTCTACACCCAATACTTACACCTTATGCACTATTCACCGTATTTATACGGTGAACAGTGTTTTTTTTATTAAAATAATATATTTTTTTAAAATATTAATTTTTTAAAAAAAAAATATTTATTTTTAAAATTTATTTTATAACACAAATATAAGATTGTGCATTAACCAACTTCACAGTTGCATTAACCACAAAAATCTACATTATTAACCAGTTATTTTACCTATAATTTATTAACCACTTTCACTACTTCATTAACCAATAAAATACACACTATTAACCATGTTCTGGGAAATTTGTTCAAGTATTTGTGAACAGTAATTGAGGTGTAGGGTGTAGAAATGGGTGTCAACATAGCAATCCTGATTGTTTAATGGTTACAAGTATAATAATAATGCTGAGTTTATTATCATTTATGTAGTTGCAAAAAATACATTTACAAACCTACTAAAACTGGAATAAAAACTGATTCTCCATGAAAATCAGGACTTCATGACTGACTTATTCTTTCTAAATACTAGGACTTGATAACAAATAAAGAATAAACTACAGCAAATAATCTCTAATACCTAATTGCCATGCACACAAGTTCCGAGTACGTTGTAATTTTTAATAATGCTAAAAGGTTGCAAATATGACAAACCCTAACCTCACTGATTCACTTCCCACACTGTATCACTGCCGCTGCATGGCATCTTCCACGAAGAAAAGAAACCCTACCATCATAGATTCACTACTGCACACTCTTACTTTCGACCTCAAAATAGAAATTCTTTCTAGGCTACCTGTCAAACTCCTTCTCCAATTAACATTGATCTGCAAATCCTTGAATTCTATAATATTCAATCCTAATTTCGTCCAAAAGCACCTTAGCATCTCAACCACCCGCCGCCTCCACCTTGCATCATACAGTTCTCTCTTCAATCTTAAGTCTTACCCACTCCAATCCTTGTTCACTGGTATAACTACTAACTTCACTCAATTAGGTTTTCCTTTCTACAATATTAATACTAATGTAACCGATTTTTATTACATTGCTTGCTCTTGTCACGGAATTCTCTGTCTTGCTGATCATTACCAGTACACAGTTGTATTGTGGAATCCTTCCGTTAGAAAATTCAAAATATTACCCCCTTTTGAATACCCTAAATACGGTACCAAGGTTCACGTGAACCATGGATTCGGCTATGATCGTGTTTCCGGTCATTACAAAGTGGTTGTTCGTTACCACAAGCGGAGTACTGGTAGTGGCATCCATGAAGACACAACTACAGTCAAGGTTCTTACTTTGGGCACCGATTATTGGAAAACGGTTCCTACATTCCCTTTTGGGACTATATTTGATTTTGATGCTGGAAAATGTGTAAGCGGCACTATTAATTGGTTGGCCTATACAAAAACTTATCGGGTCGTTCAGCCTTTTATTGTTTCTTTTGATTTGGCTAAGGAGTCTTTTCAAAAGATTTTCCTTCCTCATCATGGAAGGAGAGATGGGTGTAACCTAACATTGTTAGTGTGGAAGGATTGCTTGGGTATAATCTGTGATCATGATGTTTGGGTCATGAAGACATATGGAGTTCAAGAGTCTTGGACTAAATTGTTCAGTGTTTCTTACTTGGAAGATCCTAGAATGTCTTGTATCTTGACCAAGGCATTATATATTTTTGAAGATGATAAATTGCTGCTGGAGCTTCAGGAGGAGAAACGGAGGAGGAAGTTGATTGTCTACAATCCTAAGAATGGTACTTTTAAGGTTTCCAACTTCATAAGGTTACCAGAAGTCTGCGTTCAGAGTTTGTTATCACCTGATATCATTTAGATGCAACTCTATGTTACTCGACATTTATGTTTATTCATGTTAGTTATGCTCATTTGAATTCATATATATTTTCATTTTCTGTTCAAAACATATGTTTCAGTCTTAGGAATCTCCGCTCAATATGGCCCAGAATAAAGTTCAAACTATATTATTTTAGAAAGCATTATTGATCATTTATATGAATCTTGATGTATGTGCTTTATAGTGTTATGTTATGCCATAGCTGTTGTAGTGTATTGGTATTTGAACAAAATGCTATTTTATGAGATTTACGATTGGCTGCACTAGAAAATACTATACCTTGCAACATACAAAACGTGATACAAGTTTTGTTTCCTTGGCAATGACTATTATATTGACAGATGGTTTCAATATGATCCTCACAGCTTTCTTATTTATGAGACGAGAAGAATGTATGCGAGTCTTAGCTTTACTGTATTTTTGTTCATGAATTAAAGACTATGGTTGCATAGGAGTAGTAGTTGTAAGTACTCACATGTTGCCTTCTGTTTGGTCGTGTTTGATGAGAATTATTACTTGGAATTGATCCTTTAAAATGTTACTTTAGGCCTATAAGAGATAAAGAATAAAGTTCAATTCACTAAGTGCACAAATCAACCAATAAAACCTGTTTGTAATTGTTTAGATGATAGTTGGTAGAAGATAGTTTTAGAGAGTAGTTTAGAAAGAAGGTTTTGTGATTAATTTCTTGGATGATGGTTTACAATGTAGCAAATGCCTATTTATAGGCTCAAGTCACCAACCTTTCAATGGTGGTGAATATTCTAGAGTTCTCATGATAGATTATTATCATGATAAATCTAAATTTTTCTATCTTTGTCATATACTTATATATCTAGATTATTCTACCATATTCATACACCTTATAGTTTCTAGGATGTTCTATATTTTCTTACATATTATATTTAAGAACTCTCTAGAAATTTGTAGCAAATTTAACACTCCTCCTTGATACAAATTTCTTTGACTCCAAGCATAGCTCGTAGCTCTTCAAATCTTGGTCTCGGCAACGCCTTCGTGAATATGTCTGCAATTTGATCTTCTGTTCTGCAATAGTCGAGTTCGATCTCTTTAGTTGCTTCAGCTTCTCTTATAAAGTGATACTTGATTGCTATATGTTTTGTTCTACTGTGATGCACTGGATTTTTTGCCATTGCAATTGCTGATTTGTTGTCGCAATTGATTTTAGTTGGTTGATCCTGTTTTTCTCCCATGTCTTCAAGTATCCTACGAAGCCATATAGCCTGACACGTTGTTTCAGCAGCTGCTGCGTACTCTGCTTCTGCTGTGGATTGTGCAACCGTAGCTTGCTTCTTCGACGCCCAAGAGAAAATTCCTGATCCGAGTGAGAAAGCATAGCCAGAGGTGCTCTTCATGTCATCTACCGAACCTGCTCAATCACTATCGATGTAGCCAAGTAATCCTGAGTTAGTTTCGGTAGAGTACCATATACCTAACTCTTTTGTTCCTTGTAGATATCTCAAAATTCTTTTTCCTGCTCCAAAGTGCATTTGACTTGGACTTTGCATGAATCTTGATAGAAGACTTGTAGCATACATTATGTCTGGCCGCGTAGCTGTCAAATATAGGAGGCTTCCAATTAAACTTCGATATTTGGATGCATCAGCTTCTGGTGCTCCATCATTCTTTTGTAGTTTCTCATTTGTTATGAGTGGGGTAGCGACAGGTTTGCAATCGTACATCTTAAATTTCTTAAGTAAGCCTTCTGTGTATTTGTTTTGTGAGATGAATATCCCTTCATTTCTTTGGCTTACCTCTATACCGAGGAAGTAACTTATCAAACCAAGGTCGGTCATCTCAAAGGTCTTCATCATGTCTTCTTTGAACTCAGTTATCATCTTAGTATTGTTTCTTGTGTAGATAAGGTCATCTACATATAGAGAGAGTAAGAGAGTGTACTGACCTTGAGACTTGATGTATAGTGTGGGCTCACTCTTACTTCTCCTAAATCCTTGATCCATGAAATATTGATCGATTCTGCTATACCATGCTCGAGGAGCTTGCTTCAAACCGTATAGTGCTTTTCTTAGTCTTAACACTTTGCTCTCTTCGCCTTCAGATATGAATCCTTGTGGCTGCTCCACATAGATCTCTTCTTCAAGTACACCATTGAGGAAGGCAGATTTGACATCCAGTTGATGTATACTCCATCCTTTTTGTGTCGCAAGAGCTATTAGAGCTCTAATGGTATCAAGACGAGCTACTGGTGCAAATGTCTCATTGTAGTCAACCCCAGGTTGTTGTGAGTAACCCTTAGCTACTAGCCTCGCCTTATGTTTCTATATGGTGTCATCAGGATTGAGCTTTGTCTTATAGACCCACTTAACCCCAATGATATCTTTTCCATGGGGACGATTTACTAACTCCCATATGTTATTTTTCTCGATCATCTTTATCTCTTCTTCCATTGCCTTGACCCATGCTTCATGCTTTGATGCTTCTTCAAAGCTTCCAGGTTCGAGTATGGCCATGTTGCAGGTTTCATATATGTCTCTCAAAGATCTTACTCGTCTTGGAGTAGACTCTGGTGATGATAGTTCTTGAACTTGTTGTTGTGGTGGAGGTGAAGAAGGTTCACCTAGGACTTCTTCCTCAGCTTCTTCTTGAGGTAGTTGAGTGGGTATAAAAACATTCTTCTCCACTTTTTCTTCATCCCAATTCCAAGAAGCATTCTCATCAACTTCAACATCTCGACTGATGATGAGTTTTTTTGTTTGCAAGTTATATACACGGTAGCCTTTAGATATTGTGCTATACCCCAAGAAGATACCTCGTATAGTCTTGTCTTCAAGCTTATGCCTCTTCACGTCTGGAATATGAATGTAGCATATAGATCCAAAGACCCTTAGGTGCTTTGCTGATGGCTTCTTCCCGTTCCAAGCCTCAATTGGAGTCTTATCTTGTACAGATTTAGTTGGACATCTGTTGAGTAAGTAAACAGCAGTGTAGACTGCTTCAGCCCAAAATGTGTTAGGTAGTCGCTTCTCTTTGAGCAACGATCTAGCCATCTCCATAACTATGCGATTCTTTCTCTCAGACACACCATTTTGCTGAGGAGAATATGCGACTGTAAGTTGTCGCTCTATGCCTTCATCCTCACAAAATCTATCAAACTCGCGGGATGTGTACTCTTTGTCGCGATCACTTCTTAGTACTTTTATCCGCTTTCCACTTTGATTTTCAACAAGGGCCTTTAACTTTTTGAATACTCCAAAAACTTCTGATTCTTCTTTCAAGAAATAGACCCATGTCATTCTAGAGAAGTCATCAATGAAGAGTATGAAGTACCTGTTGTTCTCGTGTGATGGCGTCCTCATTGGTCCACAGACGTCAGTATATATCAGCTCCAACAGATCTTTTGCTCTCCATGCTCCGCTTGTTGAGAATGGAAATTGGTGTTGCTTACCAAGGAGACATCCTTCACACACTTCATTGTTATCCTTTATGCTTGGAATATCTCTCATCATGTTCTTATCATGTAACAACTTCAAGGCATGTGTGTTGAAGTGGCCAAATCTTCGATGCCAAAGCCATGAATCATCAACTTGTACCTTCATGGCAATGCTAGTTGTATATTTTAAATTTAGCGAGAAGCTTCTATTGCTCTTATTCATCTTCACTTCGGCTATCTCGACCCTTTTATTCTTGTTGTCTAAGATTTTGCATACACCTCCTTCAAAGTGAAGTGTGTAGCCTTTCTCCATCATTTGGCCAATGCTTAGAAGATTTTCTTTTAGGCTGGGAACTAGTAAGACATCATGGATGAGTCGCGTACCTTTATCTGTCTCTACCACGACGGTGCCTTTTCCTTTTGACTCAACCACACTTCCATTTCCTAATCGAACTTTGACTTTGACTGACTCATCAATGCTTTTGAAAATAGTCTCATCCTTGGCCATGTGATTGCTACATCCACTATCCAAGTACCAACTTCCTCATTTTTCTTTGATTGATTCTTGAGTGGCATAGAACATACATTGTTCTTGATCATGCTCCTCTGCGATATTAGCTTGATGCCTATTTTTGTTGCGACAGTGTTTCTCTATGTGCCCGAATTTCTTGCAATGATTGCATTGTGGCATATTACGGTACTAACAACTTTTCTCCGCGTGGCCTAGTCGTTTGCATATATTGCATGGAATATTTTTATCTGGATTGTTCTTTTGGAAATTTCTAGGAACTTCTCTTCTTTTGGAAGTTTCACCATAATTTTTCTTTCCTCCATTTTCTTTATTTTGGGACTTAAATTTGAGCTTTGACTGAAAGGCATTTTCAAGTGTATCTTCTTTATGCCTATGTAGTCTTTGCTCATATGCTTCAAGAGAGCCCACTAGTTCTGTCACTGATAGAGTAGACAGATCTTTGGTTTCCTCTATTGTTGTCACGATTAGGTCAAATTTTGAGGGCATAGTAATTAGAATTTTCTCAACAATTTTCTTGTCAAGAATATCCTCCCCAAAAGCTCTCATTTGATTAACTATTTCTTTAACTTTAGAATAGTAATCTTTAACTGTCTCAGACTCCTTCATCTTCAATAGTTCAAAATCTCTTCTTAGAGATTGAAGTTTGACAGCACGTACCTTTTCATTTCCTTGAAACTCCTCCTGCAACGTCTTCCACGCTTCTTTTGCAGTCTTAGCTCCCATAATTCTTGGAAAAATTACATCAGTCACCGCTTGTTGCAAGGTGAACAATGCCTTTGAATTTTTCTGTTTATTTTTCTTCAACTCTTTTTCTTGAGCTGCATTTAGAGATGAAGTATTTATGGGAGCGATGAAGCCTTCTTCTACTATGTCCCATAAATCTTGAGATAAAAAATATGTCTCCATTTTAACACGCCAGAAATCATAATTTTCACCATTGAAAATAGGGACACAAATAGTTGATGATTGAGTAGTGTTATCCATGGCTTAGAAAAAATATTGTAGTGGGTTAATAGTATAAGGGAAATATTTTGA